TTCCCCTTCACCCAATTCCCCAGCGCTGTTCCCATCCCCCCAATTCCCCAATAAAAATCTTTAAAAAAAAAAAAGAATTGTGACTGCTCACTAAAATAACACTTTGGAAAATCAGTGTCATGTAAAAAAAAGTCCCTTGGGCCAGGGCCAATCAGAGATTGTGGAGAGGGAAAGATTTATTCCCCCTAAATTATTTAGGTTTTCGTTTACTGCTTCCTTAGAGATTCAATCACCAGGCCAAAAAGTACTCATTTAATTTGGGGAGTTGCTGAAACATCAGGGAAGTCTATATAGTCTATGGCTATAGTCCATAATACTTACGCCAGATCCTTTAACCGACAGTCAGGCTGTTTTAATCCTTCACACAGCAATTTCAGTCCCCAGTCTTCAATTTTGTTATTAATTAGAAGCAACCTTGTCAGGCTATGGGTAGAGCACAGGATTTGTGCAAGCGGCTCACAACAAGCTGCAGAGAGGGAACATTCGGAAAGCCTGGAGAGATGGGGACACCAAGGTGGCTGTTAACCATGGCAGCAGGGCATTCCACTGAACCGCAAATGCCAAGGCCCATGAGAAGGACAAGGATAAGCAGACACTTACCCAAGATTCTCGACAGACCTTCACAGGGGTGCTGTACTCCTCTGTCCCCCAGGGCATTGGCAAACACAAACAGCTCTTTTAAAGTCTGACTCACTTGCAAGAAAGAAGAGAGCTCCACACAGCTAGCATCTGTGAGGTAACATGTGCTCAAGCTACCGAGAGGAAGAAAAAGAAAAATCAACCACTGCTGTCATTTAGCTTCACTGCGAATGTTCTCCCTGCCTCTCCAGTTAGCTAAGTGTCTTAGCCATCCTTCAAATCCCAGCTCCTGGCCCACCTCCCTTTCACAGAGCCTGCTCCTGAGGTCTCCAGCCCATAGTGACCCCCTCCCAGTTCCCTGAGCTTAGCTGGCATTTCTAAATTATCCCACAGTACTGGGCACTTGATTACACATTAAACTGTGTTGCTCTCCAATTGTTTCTTATCTGTGTGTTCTTAAGGGCAGCCTTGTCACTTGTAGTCCTTCTGATAATTCCATCCATATCTAGTCCAGTGCTGGGTGCATAGTAGGTATTGCTTATAGAGTTACTATTCAATTAGTGTCATTCCTGTAAACACACAGGATGAGATTTGGAGATGGATTTGGAGTCACATCTGACTATACCACGTTTTATCAGTGTGACCTTAAACAACTCACCTTTCCACCTGATCCTCACTTTCCTCATCTATACAATGGGGATAAGAAAACCCACCTTATGTGTTATTGTAAAGAGTTAATTAGATGAAATAACTTCTGGCAAGCACCAAGCATAGATCCTGGCACATGGCAGGCATGCAACAAGTTCAAGAGTCATAAGATGATGCCAGATAGTTCTACGAAACTTACTCTAGTTTCTCCACTTTACAGTTGGAATGTCTGAGACGCTCACAAAGATACTTCACCCCTGTGTCCCCCAGGAGATTTTCACTTAGGTCCAGCTCAGTGAGGTTTGAATTGCAAATGAGAACAGAGGCAAGATGCTTGCAAATGGCCTCTGAGCTTTCGGGGAGAAAGCTAGCAAACAACCTGAAGAGAAAGAAAGGAGAACATACCACATATCAGTGAAATCATATGGTTCTCGGCTCTTTCTGTGTGGTATATGAAACTGAAAACAACAAAAGAACAAGGAAAACAAATGAAGAAACAAAACTCATAGACATGGACAACAGTTTAATGGTTACCAGAAGGTAAGGGAGGAGGGAGGTGGTAGATGAATGTAAAGGTGATCAAATAGATGGTGATGGACAGAGAACTGACTCTGGGTGGTAAACACACGATGTGATGTATAGATGATATATTGCAGAATTGTACACCTGAAATCTATGTAACTTTGCTAACAAGTATGTTACCCCAATAAACTTTACTTAGAAAAAAGGAGAACAGAGACAGAATTGGCTACTTTATCATCCTACTCATCCCCTTCCCACAATACCTCATGAGCAGAGAAAATAAAGGCACACCCATACACAAGATCCCCAGCCTTGAGTATGTCACAGCTCCTTTTCCCCCACGGGAGGGGCTTGGGAATTGCTCCCACAACACTGTGTCCTGCAGTAGGAACTCAATAAATGTTGACTGCCCAATAAAAGAAAAGGGCTGGGAGGAAATATCAAAATGGCTTAATCTCATTTCAATTCCCTGCATGAGTTTAGCGCTCTATCTCATATCTTCTTCCAAATCCCAGGGGGAAATGCTACAATCATCCTTAATAAATATTAGTCAAAAGATCTTTCTTTTCCTCTTATATAAAAGTCCATTATTCATTAATTTGCCATCCTGGAGAAACCTAGCCCATCACCATCATCAATAGTCCTTCTTTGGCACAAAAAGTGGCTTTTACTGACCTTCCTGTCTTTTCAATCTTTATTTCTCCATATTAAGTAGTCCAATTCTTTGAACCACATCCCATCACCTTTTTCTTCCATCACTTTCAAGAATTTATATGATATGCACTACAACCTTTGAGTCCTCAATTTTCTCTTAGGAGTTACCAGGCTCCAAACTGTGTCTTGAAGAGGACTCATACGAACATGTTATCTATAGCTTCCCAATATAGAAATTTCAAATAGAGGCATTTTGCAAAAGTATAAGTTTCAAAGATTTTAGAAAACTTTAATGCTAAAGAGCTTTTGCTTTAGAAAACCCCATATATACAGTAAGTCCCCAACTTACAAACATTTGAGTTGCAAACTTTCACAGATACAGACAGACCTCGCATTATGAACATTCATAGATGCGAACAAATCACGGAAGTAGCTAACGTATCGTGGAAGTAGCTAATGTGTCTGCCGGACATTGTCACGGTTGTGCTGCTGCGTGCTTACTGTCCAGTGCGATATTGTACAGTGTTCAATCAAAGCCCAGGATGTCCAGAAGCAAGAGGAAAAGCAAGAGAAAAATTCCATCTTGCCCTCCATCTCCTATTGCTGATGATCCTTCAGCTCCACCATCTTCCACCTACCCTCCCTTCTCCAGTAACTCTCTTCTTGTCAGTTCACCCCATGCAATCCCCTATATGCCAGTTGTTGTACTGTACTGTACTGCCATTTTAAGGTAACTGTAAAAGTAAAATTAGTGTATTTACAGTATTTGTGTGTGTGTGTGTTTAGTTTTTTTATGCTTTACATTGTATATTTGTGTCAAAGGTGTAAGATTCACTTTGTCGGACTTACGAACGAATCCGACTTATGAACGTTCTCCCGGAACGGAACTCATTCATAAGTCAGGGACTTACTGCATATGTCCCCATTACACACACACATACACACACACACACACACACACATATACACACACACGTTAATTTTATGTGTCAAACTGGCTAGGTCATGGTACCCAAATATTTGGTCAAACATTATTCTGGATGTTTCTGTGGACATCTGTTTTAGATGAGATTGACATATAAATCAGTAGTCTCTAAATAAATTAAATCAGCCTTTGTAATGTGGGTGGGCCTCACTCAATCAGTTGAAGGCTTTAATAAGAAAAGGACTGACCTCCGCAGAAGAAGCAGCAATTCTGCCAGCAGACTGCCTTTGGACTTGAACTACAACACTGACTCTTCCCTGTGTCTCCAGCCTGCTGGCCTACCATGCAGATATTGAGTTTGACAGTCGCCAAAATCCGTGTAAGCCAATTCCTTAAAATAAATATTTCTATAGGATTATACACATCTTAGTGTTGCTGTTTCTCTGGAGAACCCTGAATAATACATATATGATAAACTTTTTATTAAGGTCATTACCACGGACTTTGAAGTCAGACACATCTGGGTTTTGAATTGTGCCTTTGCCATGTTATTTGGTGTTCTTTGTGTCTCTGTTTCGTCATCTGCTAAAATGAGGATAGTAATCTGAATCTCTCAGAGCTGTCATGTGGATGAATGGAAATCATGTGTACAAACTGCTCAGCACAACACTTAACACAAAACAACTGCTCAATAAGTGTTGGTTACTATTATTGTCACTATTACTACTTACATTGAAAATTATCTCCCTAAACTTGTTACATAGGAAAAATTTTAGGGACTGCCACTTTCATTTTTCGTTTCTATGACTCCTGAAATGTGTTGATCAACAACATCCATCTGGAATTGCGTATTTTTAAAATATTTTTTGCAGTATGGAAATTAATAGTTACAACTTACTTGAGTTTCTGTAATTTGCAATTTGGATCTTTTAAGCCTTCACAGAGTGATTTCAAACCTGAAGCATCCAGTTTTGTGTCACTAAATTCCAGCTCTGTGAGCCACTGATTGGTGCTGAGAACAGCTGCTAGTACCCCACAAGAAGCAAGAGAGATAAGGCATTGGTACAGCCTTCAGAGAACAGAAGAATGGCCTCGTTATCTTATTCATGCTCTCCCTCAATACAAACAATAATTGACAAAAATGGTATGAACACAGATTAGAAATTCCCCTGCTACTAGTTACCTCAATGTCTGTAAGATGTAGTTTGGCTGTTTTCATCCTTCACACAGAAGCTTCATTCCTGAATCTTCCAGGGTATTTTTTACAAATTCCAAATCTGTCAGATGCTGGTTGGTTTCAAATACTAAGGAGAGGTCCCTACTGCAGGAAGCTGTGAGGTGGCAGAAAATCAGTCTGTGTGGAAAAAAAAGACATTTCAGAAAAGAAATAAAACAGGTACCTCTTCAAAGGTACCTGTTTATTCAAGAGTGTGAGCTCTGAGCAACAGGGTCACCGGTTCAGTTCATGGCCCAAGCTGAGCTGCCACTGAGCTGCCAACAGGTGGCAGGATGGCTCAGCTTAAAAAAATAAAAATAAAAAAATAAAAAAGGTACTTGTTTACACCTTACTGATGAAATGAATTATTTCAGTTCATTCAACAATTAATTTATTGGGTGCTTACCACTGTACTAGATGCTGAAAACAATGAAATACTTAAGACTCAGGCCATGCCCTCAAGGCATGCCCAGTTAATGGGGAAAATGAGAAAATCATGGATTATAATACAGTGGGAAAAATTCTGCAAGTGGTATGAATACTTATCGTGGAAACACAGACAAGTAGCACAGTTCAGCCTAGCTTGGGGTGGAGTTTGGAGAATCAAGAAAACTTAAAAGAGTGAGAAATACTTGAATGCTGTTGTGAAAGAGGAATCAAAATTGAAGGGGAGTTAGGTGGATGAGGAGAACAGGAGCTGGGAGAGCAGGAGGGGCTGAGGGACAATGGGCAACGGCCAGGAAACAAGAGGGAGGGTGCTTCATTTGAGAAACTGACAGTTTTCTGCTATGGCCCATGTTTAAAGACTGGAAAGATATCTATATATCTACATATATAGATACAAAATTATTAACAGTGGTTATCTTCCAGGTTGGGGGAAGGGTGGGGTTATAGGGAGACATTTAGTTTTGAGATAATTAAAAATTATTTCTAATGATTAGAAGTCATCAGACAAAAAGTCTTTTTAAATTTCGAAAAATACATGTTCATGATAATTTTTGCAATAGAGAAAAATATAAAGAATAAAGTTTTTTTTTTAAAAGTACTATATTCCTACTATCCAAATATAACCACTGTCAAACTTTTGGTACATAACTTTACAGATTTTTAATGCATGTATATATGCAGAGTTATGTTATTTGTAACAAATGAAATCATAGAAAGACATTTTAAAAAGATAAAAACGTTTTCCCAACCTCCCTTCCAAATCCACCTCCTAGAGACAACCAATGTTAAGCATCTAGTGTACATCCTTCCACTCCTTTTCCCAAGAAACATGTGCAAAGACACACACACACACATAATTTGTTTGTACATGTTACAAAAATAAGGTTATAGAAAACATTACATCAACTGTACATGCACTTTGTCATGCAGCCCTCATCGTAAGCCCTTCGATAGAAACTGAGATTCAGTTACAGCATGAAGGTCATACATAATAAGTGGCAAAGTGGGGCTCAGCCTGGCATCTGTCTGGTTTATACTGTAGGCATCAGAAAGCCAATGGAGGTTTAAAGAGACATGGTCAGATCCCTCTGATGGCAGTGTAGGGCAGGAGACAGACCTGGTATCAGAGGGCTGCAGTCGTCCCCCAAAAAAGAAATGGTGGGAGCAGGACTAGGATGGTGGGGTGCGGGGAGGTGGGCAGATCCAAGACGTTTCGGGTGTGTACATACAGCCAAGACTTATGACGAGGGACTATAGTGTTCAGTTCTGGGCCAATGGGGGATGAGGTCCTGGCTCCACCCTCTTCCGCGAGGGGGAACCCGAGGCCATTGTGAGGTTCCAGCTCTTTCGTGTTCTAGAACGTTCCAGCCAACGGAGGCGCAGGCACGAGGGCATGGGACAAACCATTGTGGTGGTGAGGTGGGGAGATAACTTTTTTAAAACTTGATTACAAGTGCTTCACAGTCTTAGATCTAAGACTTTTCTGACCACTCCTGTATCTTCCCACCTTGAAGGACTTTCAACAGTATACCGGGTTCCCTTTTGTTCTGGGGTGGGAGGAAAGGATCTTTCTGGCACATTGCCTCCCACCCCTACTCTCTCTGTAAATTGGAATAATCCTAGGGTAAAAGCCTCCGCGGTTGGCCCGAAGCTTCATTTCGCCACCAGCGGTTGGCGGGAGGTGTGCCTTGTCTGCGGGTGTGGTCGGCGGGTGTGGTCGGCAGGTGTGGTCGGCAGGTGTGGTCTGCAGGTGTGGTCGGCAGGTGTGGTCTGCAGGTGTGGTCGGCAGGTGTGGTCGGCGGGTGTGGCCAGCAGGTATGGTCGGCAGGTGTGGTCAGCGGGTGTGGTCAGCAGGTGTGGTCAGCGGGTGTGGTCAGCAGGTGTGGTCAGAGGGTGTGGTCAGACTGGACCTCTTCTGGCCCCCAACAGGAGAGGCTGAGGCCTGGTAGGAAGCATCCTAGGATGGGCAATGGTCTGAGGGGGCAGGGGAGGGCAAGCGGATGGGAAGAGACTGAGAGGGGTAAGGGCTAAGGGAGATGGGAATGGACAATGTGTTGTTTTATACCTGCAGAGCCTGCCAGGCTCCTAAGGCCTTCTACCGTCATGGCTTTGAACCCAGAGGACCTCTCTGGTGGGTTTCAGCATTACACGGTGATGGCCTTCATCAACGAAAAAATGGCCAAACACGTGAAAGGCCCTGAGTTCTACCTCGAGAATACATTTCTGTCCTGGGCCGAGGTGGAGGACAAGCTCAGGGACATCCTGGAGGACAGCGGGATGCCAAGTGAGGCCAAAGATGCCTGTACCTGGAGCTGCCTGGCCCTGGGCATGCGCTTTGCCCACAGGCAGAGCCAGGCACACGCATGCAGAATGCAGCGGTTGCATGACTTCAACAAACTGCATAAGTCGGCTGCCCAGACCTTGGCCTCAAACCTGAGGGAGCTCTCAGTGCAGCAGGACATGGATCGCAAGGAGGTGGCCTACAATCTGCGGCTGACCCAGGCTAAACTGGAGGAGGTGGAGAGAGAGAGGGACATGCTGAGATGGAAGCTCTTCCAGGCTGTAAGATTACCCGCTTGGTCCCTGAATAGGTCTCAACCCTGCATATTTCTCTCCAGGAGGTGAAGTTGTTCAGCGAGCAAGAGTGGATCAAAGAAGGGCCAGGCCTGGCCACTGCCAGTGAGACTGCAACAGGAGCAGGTGAGGAGGAAGATGAGGCAGAGGCTGCTACTACTACTGCTGCTACCACAGGGGACGCTGCGGAGGAAGAGGAGGGGCAGAGGCTGCATAGGAGCTGGGTGGAAGTCTCCTGCAGCTTCTGGGTGGGGGGGCAGATACACCTCTGGCAGGCTGAAGGAGGGAAATCGCAGATCAAGCAGGCATGTTTTATTTCTCCGGGTCCACAGCCTCACCAGCAACCCTTCCTATCCAGCTCCCTGCCTAATACATGTACTCACCTTTTACCCCCCTTCACAGGTGCATGCACACCACCCAGACCAGCAGCAGCATTCACTGCAACATCTCCCTACAGCGAGCCATTCGATGGTACACCAAGGTCTGATGTAGGGACCCAGGGAAAAGGCCCTCAAGAACCAGGAAGAGGCAGAGCCGCTGAACCCCAACTGCAGCGAAGACTTCCAGCATTTCGCATGCCCGGGGACTGGGACTGCCCTTGGTGTAAAGCTGTGAATTTTTCACAGAGGGAAATTTGCTTCCGCTGTGGCGGGGAAATCTGGCTACAGAAGCCTTGAATTCAGGAATGTTTAATAAAATAGAAACTTATCCTAATGCGAAATCTATTTTCATTGGGCTGAGGGGAGGGGCTGGGTGGAATGGGGGAGGGGATAAGTGGGCAAATGGGGCTACGGGGAGGAGAGGCATGGTAGGAGGTGGGGAGGGTATAGATTGATAGGGAGAGAGACATGTTTTGATGATCCCATTTGTGTTCCAGAGCATTAGTATTCAACACCCCAAAACTGCTGCAGCTTTTGTTTGTGTCTCTCTCCCACACCCTAGTATCTGGTGGAACGGGGCATCCACTCTCTCCGTCTACCTAAGCTGTAGATGATTGCAGAAGGAGTGGATATTTGACCCTTCCTTAGCCAGATTCTCACACTAGAGAATCTAAACAGAAGCAGATTTCACAGTCAGGATGGTGTTGGGCAATGAAGCAGTGGGTCATTTGGAGTTGGGGCAAAGATCAAAGTCATGGTCACTGAGGCCATGCCCTGGCTGTGGGGAAGAGAGCTATGTGCTTTACAGAGGTCAAGTGTCTATTAGAGGATACCAATATGACGTTCCAAGGAGCAGACAGGCACAGAGAAGCACTGATCCCATGACCCCAGAGACAGAATGGGAGCCCCAAGTTTCCGCTTCCTTCAATTGTGCTGGGTGAAAATCCATTCGATACAGATCCTCTTTTCTTTAAGATAAATTGAGTGGGTTCCTGTTCTGAGTAACCAGAGTATTTCCAAGTCAGAAATTGGCACCAGGGGGCTGGCCGAGTGGCTCAGTTGGTTAAGAGCTTGCTTAAGAGTGCGAGCTCTGAGCAACAGCGTTGCCGGTTCGATTCCCACATGGGCCAGTGAGCTGCGCCCGAGCTGAGCTGCTGCTGAGCTGCCAACAGGTGGCAGGCAGGATGGCTCAGCTTGTGAGAGCACTGCTCCTAACAACAAGGCTGCCTGTTTGACTCCCACATGGGATGGTGGGCTATGCCCACCCACAACTAATACTGAGCTCGGCACTGAGCTCATTGGATAGAGGCTGTGCTCTTAACAATGAGGCTGGTGGTTCGACTCCCGCATGCATAGGATGGTGGCTATGTCCACCCACAACTGAGATTGAACACAGCACCTTGTGCTGAGCTGCTGCAAGCTGCCGATGGTGACTGGGCTTGGAGCTGAGCTTGCTGCGCCCTCCACAACTAAGATCGAAGGACAACAACTTGGTTGTTCCCCTCCCCGAACTCCCAACACTGTTCCCCTCCCTCAATTCCCCAAAATCTTAAAAAAAAAAAAAGAAAAAGAAATTGGCACCAGAAGAGCAGTTGCAAACCACAGACCATCAAAGAAAATGTTCAAACTGATTGGGGACGTGCCTCAGGGAGTGGTGGGTACTGGGGATTCCGGCACCCCAAGAGGCTCCAGGGATGAACTGGACAAAAAGCTTGTTCATGTTCTGACTGAGTTACATCACGAAAAACAATCAAAACACTGCAGAGACTTGTCATCCCTAAGGGAATCCCTCAGGGCTGCCTACAGAGGACTGCTATGGCTTGTTCAGTCCCATGAGAAGAGAATCCTCCCCAGTCCCCAGTGTGCAGGACTGGGGACAATCCGATCTGAATAGGTAACTCATGCCACTGCCAAAGAGGTGAGCCAGCAACTAATAGCGCACAGAAAGTGTGCTGGTCTAGACCACAAAGGGAGCCATCCTGGGGTATTCTCTCCCCCAACCCAGCAGCAGGATAAAGGTGGGATGGGAATCTGGGTATAAAGGCCTCAGTGAATTCAGAAATGTGCAATAGGACATATCCTAATGGGAAGTCAATTTCCAAAGGGAGGGGGTGAATCAGGGAAGGATGACAATAAGCTATGTTGAGGGGGGCTAAACGCATGGTTTAGCCCACAGGTGGGAGGATGGTGAGGAGTCACAGCAGATTGAAACTGCAGGAGCCCTGCACATCGCCAGGGGACTGTGGACCTAGAGACAAGCTGGCGTGGCCCTGGGATAGCTCTGCAACAGCTGGATGAGACTCTGGGCTGTCTCCTGTTGGGGCAGATCCCTAACTTGCACTTGTCAGAAATGTCCTTGGGTGTCTTTATGTCCTTCTAAGGCAGGGGTTTCCAACCTCAGCACTCTTGACACTTGAAGTTGGATAATTCTATGTTGCAGGGAGCTCTCCAGTACACTATGGGGTGTGTGGCAGAATCCCTGGCCTCTATCCACTAGCTGCCAGTAGCACATGCCCCCCTAGTTGTGACAACCAAAAATGTCTGCAAATACTGCCACAGGTCCATTGGTGGGGTGGGGGCATAAAACCAACCCTTGTTGGGAATCACGAAGGCGATGAGGCACTTAGCAGTCAGAACAGGGGGAAGAGAGCAGCTGAGGAGTACGCACAGCAGTGCTCAGGGTTGCAAGGGGGCCCCTAAGACAGGAGGTGAGAAGTGTGCATTGAGCCTGGTGTTCACTTTTGATCTTTAAGCAGATCTGTGGGGGTGGGGTGGGGGGAACAGAAGCCAAACTGACAGTACTGAGGTATGAGGGAGTGGGAGTGAGGAAGTGCACGCAGTGAGAGAGGCTCTTCTTCAAGGACTCCTGGCTGTGAACAGAAGGATTGAGTTAGGATATACAGCTGAGAGGGTTCTTTTGAATATGGGAGAAACTTGAGCCATGGGGAAGGAGATAGCTGAATAAAGCTTGAAAACGCAAGAAAGACGTAAAAGAATGAGGCAGATCCTCCCTATTGCATTGCACTGCTCGATGAAAAAAATACAAAGGGCCCACTTGGGGTTTTTTTGTGAAACACCCCCCCAAAGTTCTATGTGTGTGTGTGTGTGTGTGTGTGTGTGTGTGTGTGTGTGTGTGTGTGTCTTTAGACAAACTGTATATTATAGATTTATATGTGCCATATACATTATAGAGTTTTGTCTTAATAAGCATAGAAAAAGGTCTGGAAAGACATTTAGCCAACAAAGTATTACCTAGGGAGGATGGGATCAGGGGATGGGAAGCAGCAGTGGGGGTGTGGGGGTATAAGGTGGGATGGGTTACAGGGCAGTGGGGTGGAGGGCTTTTATATCTTAATATACTGTGTTGTATAAAGTTAAATAATTAAATGCTCACAAAAATACAAAATGAAGTGAACTTATTGGCCTGGATGGGTTTAGAAAGACCACCTCTTCCTTTGTGACAGGAGGGAAGGAGAGCAGAAACTGATCTGTGTGGTGAGGGGGTGAAAAACCAAGGGGGGTCATGCCTCTGTGCTAGTGATGTGGACGGACAAGACACCTGAGAGTGAGTGAGGCTGGGTCAGGGCTGCGGTGGGGGCTTCTGAGCAGTGGCACTTTGGGGAATACCAGTGGGGGGCAGGGGAATGCAGGGAGAGAAAAGGAAAACCCAGTTGCATGGAATGGGGGCGGGAATCCAAATGAAAGAAAACCAAGGTGGGAGGACAGCGGGAGTCTCGAAGGAAATCCAGGGTGGGCACCAAACACAAATCGCTTAGGTGTTACAGCCTGCCACCCACTCAGTGTAGCAAAAATGCACATGAGAAAGGGATGGAAGCAGGAGAGGCTGGCAGGGATCTGTGCTTCACTTCCTACCCCTTCCAGGCTCATAGAATATCTCTCCATTTGCTGTTTCTCTATGGAGAAGCTGAGCACTAGTTATACTTTGTTTTCAGGTCCATCAGCTATGAGCGCAATTTCTAGCAACCCAGTCTTTACTTGCACATACCTAAGAGTTTAGAGCAAAATTCAACTTACTTCAGGTCTTTAATTTTACAATACGGAGTATGCAGTGCGTGGCAGAGCAAGTGTAGCTGAGACACTGGCAAATTGTGCAGTTGGAAGGACCTAAACGAGATGAGAAGGCAAAAGGAATTTAAAAGGAAATAATGGAAAATTAACATTTAAAAAGGCTTATTTTGGCTTCCGTTACCAAAGTAGTCCTAATTTACTTCCAAAAACCTTAGGAGGAATTACCCCATTTTTCAGATAAGGCAATTAAGGCACACAAAAAAAGTAACTTGCCCAAGGTCACATAAGTAGGAAGAGAACAGAGGTCAGTACTCAGGTCTGTCTGACTCCAAAGCCAAAGCTATGTGCCAGGCACTGGAGTAAGCACTTGATGTACGCTAATTATCTGGTCCTTAACCAAGTGACAGATATTACAATCACCATTTTGCAGATGCTCAGTGAGGTCAAGCTATCTCTACAATATAACCGATTCTTGGTTGTCAGTATTCATAGAAGTAGTATTGGCAATGATTGGGAACTAGGAAAGTTCATTAGTAAAGTCGTACTTAGTCAACATACTTGAGAAAGGAATATTTTAGGTTAAATTCTGAAGAGAGTTTTCACCCTCTGATAAAGGCAATAATAAAGTTGGGGGTGGGGATTCCATCTAAGGCTGATTTTCTGGAAACTCAGAGTGAACCTGAGGCCCCTATTTGTTTCCATCGGTGTTTAAAATATCTCAATGTATTTATTCATTATTTTACTTTATAATATACAGTTGGACTGAAGCTGTCATGCATTTGTCAAGATATTGTAGCCAAAGTCCTTCATAATTCTGAGTTTGTGTAACCTCTCCTACCCCTTTCCCTCCAGCCCCCAAAACAAATTCTTGCGGCACCTCCCCCTCCCCATGGCCCCAAACACACCAGCCCATGCTCATTTCCACCACTATGCTACCGCCCACTGAGGAAATACCACTCTCAGGGAAAAGACTGCGATTAACACTCCCAAGTAGAGCTTTTTGCCCATTCTTGTCTCCTTCTCAAGGTCCCCTACCCCTCAGCTGGCCCAGCAACTAAAGGAGAGGCGATGCTTATCTTAACCTGAGTATTGGGAACAGATTTATGACCAGTGACATTTTTTAGATAACACAGGTATATGTCTTCTTGGCTGCTTTAGCCAATCAGTCAGTAGAACTGTATTTTGTAGTATGGGAAGCCTGTATTATACCAGTGGTTTACCTACTCCTCCGAAGTTCAGCTCTTGACCCTCTGTGAAGGTGCAAGTCTGGTGGAAAGAGCCCAGGCTTCACAGCAACATACACAGGAGTACAGCTCTGCCCCTTACTAACCTGGAGCTCTTCGGGGCCTCAGTGATGAAGTATACGTAGAGGCAAGTGACAAACAGTTCAATGTTAAGTTTATAACCTTTTCCAAAATAGTCATCAACACCAAAACAGCAGAGTCCTCAATGGTAATCTTGACTGATGTACTCCTAATATACAATTATAGAGCACATTCACAGAGTGACAATGAAGACTAATACACACACACACACACACACACACACACACACACTCACTCACTCACTTACACTTATAGTGGCTAGCACTGCCTGGCACATATTCAATGCTAAAAAATGTCAGCTTTACCTCAGTGTCTACCTAGGCCAGTGTTCAATATGTGATAGATATTCAATAAATCCTTATGCTGTTGACTGACATAAATATGAAATGTGGACATGATTTGTTTTATGTATTGACAATGCTAGAAATCATCATGTGTCTGAATACTTGAAATAAACAAGAAAGCCCACCATTTCTGAAGGCCAAAACACTGTAGAAGACATCAATGTACTCACTGGTTAGGTGTCAAGGTCGGTGGTATGAATGCCAAGGCTTGCTTTTCCTCCTCAAATCCAAGTAGGTGCTGACACTTCAGAGACAATGAGAGGTGACTGTGGCTGCTTTTTATACAGAATGACATAGCCCGAATGTCCATTTTTGTATAGGTAGGTTGAAGCAGTAAAATTGACTGTAAATTATCAATTATCCTTTTTGCGTACTCTTCCTCCTGAATCTCATACAAACAGTGAAACAAGTCCACTGGCTCAACCTATAACCTAGAAGATTTATCCCTTCTTTCTTTCTCAGTCCACTTCAATAACTCTTCTCAAAGTCCTGGAGAGACTTTTCTTCCAACAGTAGTTTCCACAGCCTTTCCCTTTCCTTCATGCAAGAGGCCAAATAAGAACAGTATCATTAATGATGAGAAACCTTTTCCATATTGTTGGAATATTCCTTGCCACGTTCTCCCCATTTGATCAAAAAACATCCAGCTGCTGTCATTCTTCAAGGCATAGAATACAGCGGTCAAGAACTCCTGGAAACTGAAATGAAGGAAAGTGTAGACATTGACACCCCTTTCAGCTTTTTTTTCCAACAAGTGATTAAGAAAAGTATCATCCACTTCTATTCCATGTCTTCTGAGGTCGCTGACTTCAAATAGGACCTGCTAGTTCTGCAGGCCCTCCGCAACCAAAGAGCAAAGACCCCACAGGCAACTTTGTCCCTTCCACACCGAGATGCCTGTAAGTGTTTTGAGGCACTTCGAAAAGTAGAACAGATACGCATCAGTCATGGTCTGAAGTGACCTCACGAGAGTCCTGTCACCATCTCCCTGTGACTGCAGGACAGTGCAGATCATCCAGGAGATGATGGGAATAGAAGACATAATGTCAAGGCCTTCATTTTTTTGCAGACCATAAAAGACTCTCATTGCTGCATTAGTCCCTGAAAACTGACTCAGGATATATTCTCTCTTTTCAGCATCTGTAAGCCACAGGATCTCTGCCTGGATAGGTTGTTTTAACAGAGAGTGAAGCTTCTTCATGGTCGTAGGCCGGGCAGTTATCAGGAGGGAGCATTCAGGAAACAGTTTTTTCTTCACAAAACTATGTAAGAGGGTCTCTACTGGCTTCCTCTCCTGGGGGTTAGAACAAAGACCCTCTTCCTGGTCACCTACAGGGTACTGAAGCTCAGGAAATCCATCAAGAATGAACAGAAGCTTTTCTGGATATATAGGAAGACTATCCAGGATTGGTCCATCCATATTTTGGAAACTGTTAGTGATCAAGTCAGCAGCACTAAGGTTAGCAATATGGCTTATTTCTCTGCAGTTTATGTAGATGAGATAATCAAACCTGCCTGGAGTAACCATTCCTGCTGCCCAGTCAAACATGAACTTGCACCACAGCTGTTTTCCCAATCCCAGCACATCCCGGAAGCACCACAGTTCGGGATGAGCTTGAGCCCTCTTCATCAGGATCAAATACATGTTCCATTTCGATAAAATGATCTTTTTGAGGAATTCCGCACGATGTCTTTTCTGATATGCCGTGTTCTTTTACAACAAGCAGTCGTGACTCCATATGCTTGCCATGGTGACAACATTTATTGACTCCTATTTGTAGGTACTTTTCTTTTAGATGTTTTCAAAATAATTCCTGGTAATCTAATGAGGTGACCAAGAGTTAGTAATCACAGAATACTAGACAACAACGCAAACAACTGTAGCTAGTACCACCAACACCAACATCTCCACTGGGGTATCTTAAAGGCTCCTCAAACATTACATGTCTAAAACTGCGTTCTTGATTCCTATGCTGCTGCCTCCCACTCCCAAAAAACCATCCCCGGGCATCTTATTTCAGGAAAATGGTGTCACCCAGTTGTTCATAAAAATGTTAGAAGTCATTCTTTTTTTCCCTTGCATCCTCCACATCCAATCAGTTAGCAAGGCCTGTCATTTATACCTCCAAAATAAGCCTCCATTCCATTTATCTATCGCTACACCTTCAAATGCCACCTAAGTACAAGACACTATCAACTCTTTCTTGGAGTGCTGAAATAGCCTCCTACGCATATACTCTTGCTTGTCTGTGGCTCCTCTCCACACAGCAGCCAACACAATCTTCTAAAAATATCAATTACCTCACGTCACTGGCCTGCCCCAAACCTTTCAAGAGCTTTTAATTGCACTTGGTATAAAATGCACAATCTTTACCTTATCCTACAAGATGTGCGATGAACTGGGCCCTACCTCTCTCTCCTCCCCAGCCTCATTTTATACCATTCTCCTTCTCGGTCCCTACACTAGAGCCACGCTGGCCTACTTTTACTTTTTCACTAACGTCATGTTTTTTTCCCATGTCAGGGCCTTTCCACTAGCTATTCTCTCTGCCTGCAACACTCTTCCTCCTGCTTGTCCCACAGAAAGCTCCTTCTCATCCTTCGGATCTCAATGTAAGCATTACTTTCTAGAAGAGGACATGCCTGACCACTCAATTGAAAGCAGATTATCTCTACTATTCCTTTTACCAGCACCCTGCTTTCCCTTTATAGCACTTATCACAATTTGTGATTGTCATCTTTATTTTTTTAAATTATCTGTCTTTCACATTAACCAACCATCTACATGAAGACAGCGATGGTATCTGTCTTCTTCACCATTGTACCCTAAGGTCCTAGCGTGGTGCCTGGCACTAGTAGACACTCAATAAATATTTATTGAATGTGGCTATAAATGCTTTTGAATTAAACATAAGTCATTTATTATTGCCTATTCTACTCCAGATACTGTACTAGGCCCTTTACATACATTTCTCATTTCATTCCATGAAGTAGGTTTCATAGTTATAGAAATTGGAACTTACAGCCAGGATCACGAGTTCATGGGTGTGCTATCTGTACACAGGTCTCTCATGCTCAGAAGGACCCGTGCTGGGTGTAATGCTCTGCTGTTGGTATCTTGAAATTCTTAATAATTTTTGAACAAGGGGTCCTGCCTTTTCATTTTGTACCATACCCCATAAATTATATAGCCAGTCCTGCTTATAGCATCAGGTAACTTGTCCAAGGCTTGACAGCTAGTAAGTGGCAGAGATTTAATTAAGATTCAGGTTTGTCTGAAACCAAGGTACATGTGCTTAAATACTACACTACATAGCCTTTCACCTTCTGCAACTAGCAAAATTAATCCAAGGAGTCTGTTATGAAGTTTAAAGTTCTGTTAAGTGAATGTTTAAGCTAGCATTTCCCAAATAAGTGTTTCTTGTAACACAGCTTTGCAAAATATTAATTGGAGAGCTGAGAAAAACATGTTCTGTGGTCAAGTGAGTTAAGAGGCACGCACACTCTACTGCATTTTAGAGTTTCTCAGTAAATATTAGCACATGAAAGGCTCTGAGATGACCTACAGTAAAAAAAAAGGCTATTTAACATTGTTCAATCCAGGATTTTCTGGTCTTAAAAGACCATGGAACCCGTTTGTAAAAGCAAAGTTACTAAACTCCTGGAGAATAGAGTTCTGCGTTCTACAATACTAATAGAATAGTGTTCTGAACTCAGTTTGGGGAATGCCGATTTGGATGTGTTGGCAAACTTTTTCTGTAAAATCCCATAAATAGTTTAGGCTTTGAGGTCTCTGTTGCAGTTACCTCTGCTATCTTAGTGCGAAAGTGGCCACAGATGATATGTAAATAAATGGGCATGGCTAGTTCCAGTAAAACTTTATTCACAACAACAGGCAGCTGGCTGAATTTGGCCCACTAGCTGTTACTTGTTGACGTTAATCTAGATCAGGGGTCGGCAAACTGTGGCTCGCGAGCCACCTGCGGCTCTTTGGGTACGTTCTGTCTCAAAAGTTTGCCGACCCCTGGGAGAGCCAATACTGTCCCTCACAACAATTTAAAAATTATTCAAGAGCCATAAATACATTTTTACATAATCACCATTATGTGAATAATAGCCTTTAAAAATCTTAGAAATGAAACTATGGTAGTTTTATTTTCATTTTCAATTTTACTTCAGAGCCACATGTACGTACCCAAAGAGCCGCATGTGGCTCGCGAGCCGCAGTTTGCAGACATGGCAGCTCTTCCATCTCAAAAGTTTGCCGACCCCTGGTCTATATCATTCCAGAAGCAGACTGGTCTATTCTTTTTTTTTTAAGATTTTTATTGGGGAATTGGGGGGATGGGAACAGCGCTGGGGAATTGGGGAAGGGGAACAGACAAGTTGCTGTTGTTTTGTTCTTCAGTCTAGTTGTGGAGGACGTTGCTTCACTGGCCCAAGTTGACACCATCATTGCACTCTTCCCAGGCGAGGCATCAGTCGCCGGCTTCTGGACGGCCACTCATGGTGGCTGCTGGCCGCTCACACTGGCTGCTGGCTACACACGGTAGCCCATGGCAACCCACTGCCACAGGGGCTTGCAGCCTACGCAGTCGCCAGTGACTCACGGCAGCCCAGCTCCAGGTTGAGCTGTTGTTCAGCATCTTAGCTGTAGAGGGCAGTGTCACCAGCCCTCATATGTGGGATCCGAACTGGGGCCCTCTGGCGTCCCAAGCCAGCTCTTAACCAACGCGCTACTCGGCCGGCCCCAGACTGGTCTCTTCTTGACATAAAGTTTCATACACCTGGTGCTTGACCACCACCATCAGTGGTCCCCTCAGGACCACTTGAATATCTATTTTATATGATATAAAACTCCTATTTGTTATGACAATTTGGGGCGTCATCGTACCAAAAAAAATCAATGACTGCTGCCCAATGAATGTGGGAGAGGAGTGGGAATGAGAAGCAGGGTTCATGAAAGGCACTATTCCCAAGACAGAAAAAGAAAGTAAAACTGAAAATATATCTACCTGTAAGCTTTTTCCATGAAAACAAAGCCAGAGAACTTGAAGCAGCTGTGGGAGGAGAAGAGTTGGGGGTAAGAGTTGCACAAATACACCTTCATGCCAAAACATGAAATATAAAGAAATTCAGCCACATGGTAACAGCCATCCATGCTGTTCCCCAAACAGAACTACAACAAAGAAAGTAAGTCACCTCAGATCGCTTCCAACTTACCCACAAAGTCATTTTATAGTTAACATCTAACATACAGTAAAACGTAAGAACTTCTCACACAGATATATTTAGGGTGTAAACATTTACATTTATATTTTCAATAAGGAAAATTTTAGGCATAAACCTAAAGGGGCACGTATTATTTGAAGTGACTGTTTCTGGTGTTTTGCTTTCCATTGAACATTAGCCTATTGATTTTGTTGGAGCTTCGGTAAAGTCTACCTTGTTAATGAGAAAGAATAAGGTGTTGCTGATGTTAGCTTGACAGATCTGTACAATGACCTAAATTCAAATACATATACACACATACTTAATTCAAACACGTATATCGGTATATAGATAAAAATGCACACATGCGCACACACATGCACCCTTCCACATTACTGTAAGTTTTTAGTACTTGCACAACTTTAAAAGCAAAAGAGAGACATATAGTTGGGAGAAGGTGGAACTAGGTGGATGGGGGGGAAGCAGAGTCAACAGAGGCAGATACTAAAATATCACAGAAATGGGCAGTGAGTCGTCTGTGGAAGATAAGCAGTTTCTATTCCCCATAATTAAACATTCCTTGGAGTTCAGGAATCCGCCACAAGGGGAAGAACTCTAGTATAATCTTCACTCTGCTCTGTATCCTATGAGAATCTGTGGTTACAGCATAGGGTCTTTTATGATTATAAATGTTTATGGGATTATGGAAAACCGTAGAAACCACAGTTGCCTCTTCTCCTTTCTGTCCTTTTCCTCATTTTGGGAAGCACAAAAATTGTGGACACATTTTCAAGAGATTATTAATGGGTAAATACTGTACCCATGAAATATCTTAATATGCACACACCTATACACAAGCAACACAATTTTAAAGATTCAGAAGAATCCCAAAGTCTTTGAGGAGTAGAAGTAGGGGAAAGAGAAACAACAGTGTTCTCTAGATTATACCCTTTCTTACCTCATTCAGCTACTCACCTTCGTGGTCAGACAATAAACTCCAGGTACAAACAGGTTCCATATCTTTTCTTTGCTTTTGACAGTGCATCCCGGCAAATCAAGAAAACTGTAATCCAAAACAGAAATGATGACTGTAAGACCTAGTGGAAGCCCAGAGTAAAAAAAAAAAAAAAGTAACTCAAGAAAGACTACTCGTTTAAGGCATTACAGAGTTGAGGAAGACTGAAGACCCAATAACCCAGTAGATAGCTGGGGCGGAACTAGGGGGGTGACCTAAAGATAGCCCAAAACCAACAGTCTTCAACTTGAAGAGAAAATAAACGAAAAGAGGATAGAATGTTGGCAAACTTTTTTTTTT